CATATTTGTGCAAAATAATGCTTGTAGGCATTATTTCATACAAATGCGATAATAGGAAAACAATTAACTAGTTATTTAAATGCAGTTACGAAGATTATATTGGGAAGTAAATATTCAACAGCAAATATTTTTCTTCCTCATATTGTAAAAATTAAGTTACATCTTGAGCGAAATACTAGTAATATAGATCCCTTTATTTGTCAAATAATCATACCAATGGAATCCAAATTTGAAAAATATTGGGCAGATATGGGCAATATGCACTGTATTGTGTCGATAATGGATCCTCGTTATAAAATGTCATTATTAACCCATATTTTTAAGTATAAGATGCACTTGTTATCTACTAAGGCTGAGGACAAACTGGACTTTATTAAACGAAGATAGTTAACTCAGTGTATTTTTTTAAATTATAAATTCTATTTACTAATTAGTAACTATTTTATTTATACAGAGTTATGATGATTTATAGATCAACATATACTCAATATTCAGATGCTCCTAATTATCATCATGATTATTCTTTTAATTTGCAAGATGATGAATTAATGCAAGACTTTGACTGATACCTTGTAGCAAATCAAATTAGTATAATTAGTGAAATGGATGAGTTTGAATGATATCTCACTGATCTACTTCTTCCCCATTCTTCCACAGAATCTTTTGACATTTTAGCTTGGTGGAAGGAAAATGAGCAAAAATATCCTTCCATGGCAACTATGGCAAGAGATATCCTTGCTATCCCAGTAACTTCTGTAGCTTCCAAATCAGTAAGTAAATTCTTTTAAATAGGAAATAATTAAAGTTAATTTATTCGGATTTTTAGTGTAGCAGGAAGAATTGTTAATAATTATCAGTCTAACCTTAATCCTGAAACCATTGAAACTTTGATTTGTGGTCAAGATTGGCTAAAAGAAGCAGAAGAACGAGGCTGGACATGCTAGAAAGTTATTATATTTAGATTTTGGATTTTTTTTTATTTGAAGCAATTAAGCTAACCTTTTGCTTCTAACATTTCAGATACGTTTCACAATAGGATAAAAAAGAGATAGTAAGTTTATCGTCTTTCACTAATATTTGGTTAAATTCAGTAGTCAAATTCATCAATATATTCTCAATTTAAAAAATAATTGATATTAAATTAAAAAATGATCAGACCCTGAAAAATTATAACGTTTTAATCTTTGTAAGTATAATTTTATTGTAACTACTAAAATCTTAATAAACTTAATTCTTAGAGATTCCTAATCCTACTATACTGTACTAGGTTGTATGAAATTGTTAATATATTTTTATATAATATCGAATTAAAGGAATTTTTCTGCTAATGAGACGTATAAATTGGTGTGCATTATTACTTAGTTAGAATTGGAAATCAGCACTTCTTCTTAATTAGGGCTTATGAAAAAACCACTGATTCATTAAATAAACATGTATCTAAGGTAATATTTAAATTTTAAATTATTTAAAAAAATGTAAGACTTTTAATCGAGTATGTTCAGATTCAAATATTCGAGAATTCAGACCATATTAGACTAAAATTGGATTGGATGAATTAATTAATAGATAATGTTAAGAATGAAGTGCAATGAAGAGTATTTTAATATCAAGTGAAGTGGTATACCTGATTCAATAATCCACCTTTATAATTTTATCTGGAATATCTATATTCATATATCGAAGTATTCAATGTATACATGAGTTTAATAAAAAAAAAATGCAATTGGATCTAAGAAATATAATTCTATACCATTTATTATAACAATATGTTAATAAATTTTCTTATTTAGTCATCAACTTAAAAATAAAAACTATTTATTATTATGGGCAAATTATATCTGTAGTTCTACCTGCTATCAATTTGTCTATTATTATGCTTCCAAAAATTGTTTTTTTTTATTTTATTATCATCTTCCTGATCTATTTCATCTAACCAGCATGTGATTATTTCAATAATTTTTGTGTAGTAGGTCGTTTATCAAAATCTCTATCTATGCATTTCATAGCTAATTTAATATAACAATCTGATCATATAAACTTTCTATATATTTTTGGGATTCACTCAAAAAAGAGTTTTGTTATATATAATTTTTAATGAGAGTTATATTAATAGATCAGGTTTGGGCTGGGCCTATTTTGTATCAAACTCGGCCCGGCCCACATTCTGGATTTTTTGTTTTTACTGGGTCAGGCTTGGGCTCAAAAATTTTTTTCGGGTTTGGGTTTTTTTTGGACAGGCTCGGCCCGGCCTATTCTGTATTCTACACGCAAGTGTCACAGGAATGCTGTGCCATGTCATGGGATTTCCTATAACATGCATAGAAAGTTTTTATGTAACAAAATAAGATTTTGATTAGTAATATAAAATTACGAAGTTAAACCATAGCCTAAAAATTAGCTTTACTTACAATCGCCATTGCTCTTTTTTTTCTAGATCTTGTTATGAGTTGAATTTGCGCTCTTCTTTATTAGAATTACTAGTAGTTCATTGTAGTTTTTGCTTTAAACACTGAAATTATTCCTGGTTCTCAGTTTTCTATGCTTCTATGGTATTTGAAGTCATTCGTTGTTTGGTAATTTTGATTTATGTTACGTTAAAGTAGTTTGAAGTTACAGTATTTGAATTTAATGTTATATTGAAGTCATTCATATGTGGTATTTGATTTGGTGTTAATACATTCGATTTTACTGGTTTAATCATTCATATTAAAAAATAATTATATTTGTATATATATTGTTTAAGCTTGTGTTAATATCGTTCATACATGGTATTTGATTTGGCATTAATACATTTGATTTTACTGGTTTAATTGTTTATTTTAAAAAATAGTTATATTCGTATATATATTGTTTAAACTTGTATTATTATTTTTTTGGAATTAAAAAAAATTTTGATTTTAAAAAATATACTTACAATCTAATATATTATTCTTTAAAACTTATGTTCCTATTTAAATTATAAGGCTCTTCAACAATGCTTCAAGGTAATACCGTATTCAGTGGTTTGAATTAAATTGGTATTGGAATATAAGAAAAATGGTTATATAGTAATCTTTCACAACACTTATCTTTCAATATTTCTTGATTTTCTAGGATTTTGTTTGCTATTGGATAATTGGTTCACTACGTTAGTTCTCTATCAAATAATATGCTTCTAGTTATTTTTCGTATTAAATTTACTATCAGTTTACACTTATTCAATGATGATTGTTAGTTGGTAAATCTAATTACTAGTCAAAGCTGTATGTTATATCTTTTTTTTGTTAAAGTTATCGCATATTTTAAAAAATCTGCTAATATGGGTTCTAAAGCAGCAATGGATAATGTTACACATTGTTATTAAAACAGTACTAGTATAAAGAGAGCTATTAAGAAAGCAAATTATTAGTTTATAAGATTTAGAAGTCTTTTAGACACTAATAAAGTACCAGATCATGCCACCAGTATGTTATTTCAATATTAAAGTCTTACTAATCTTTGATTTGGTGTTAATATATTCTTATTCATTTGATTTTACCAGTTTAATCACTCATTCTATTCTTTAGAACTTACTGTATTTTCTTATTAACAATATATCAAGGTGGTTTGAATTAGATTGGCATTGAAATATTTAGAAAAAAATGGAGTTTACTGTAATAATAATCCTCTACAATACTTATCTTTTTAATTTCTCTTTTGATTTTCTAGAATTCCTTTTTTCTATTAGATAATTATTATTTCGCTACATTAGTTTTTTATTAAATAGTATGCTTCTCATACATTAAATTTATTTTTGTATTAAACTTATTATCAGTTTATGTTTATTAAAATGATCGCAATAGTTGTTAGTTGGTATATCAAGTTACCTGTCGAAGCTGTATATTATACCTTTTCTATTGTTACAAAGCAGATTGTAATACAATATAATATTAGCATAGTATAGCATAGATTATAGTTTATTATTTGTATATACAGTATTAGTTATATTTATTTAGTATTGGTTACTATTATAGTTATATTTATTAGTATATTATCTTTATTATTATTGTATTAGTTATAGAAATATTATTGGCTAGTTATATATAGCACAGTAATGCTACACGAGTATCTCTAAGTGCCTTTGTACTAGTGTTACAAGCCGTAAGGTTTTTATCGGCTAGCTAAGCTAGCTGATAAAAAAATCAGCTTAGCGGCTGCTAATGGCTAAAGTAAGCAAAAAAAATTTTACTTCAGAAGATATCGGAAATTACTCCGATATTGATTCATTTTTCTTCAAAAACTTTCAGATCCTTGCTTTCTGTTATATAATTCTGCCTGACATTATTGTTCTGGCCTAAATTATACTACCAGAGTCATGTGACCTTAAGCCGTATTAGCCAGCTGATCATATTATATTGGCTGGCTTAGCCGGCTAAGCTGCCTTAGCCGCGGCTGCTCTAGCTGGCTTGTAACACTACTTTGTACAAGTGCCTCTAAGTGCTTTTGCATGAGTGCCTCTAAATGCCTATGTATGAGTGCCTCTAAGTATCTCTACATGAGTGTCTTTAAGTGCTTCTATACAAGTATTTTTGAGTGCCTTTTACACAGTTTAGCTGTTACACCTCTTATATGTAAAAAAGTTATAAAAAGGAAGCCTTTGCCTCTTCTACTCAAGTCAGAGTTAGTTAGAAAATTCTCTACCCTCTCATAGTATCTAGTCCTACCTTCTTACTATTCTTATCTTGTATAAAGTAATATACTCCTTTTAGGATAATCCTAGTAGATGAGGTTATCCTCCTTGATCTATAATAAATAAAGTATTAATGTATATTCTGTTTCTATGATGAACTGTTTGTCTCTTGCTAGTGGAAGTAGTGTATATTCCACTTCCACCCCGTATATACCCCAATAGTAGGGTCCCTGTACCAGGTGATCTTGTTACCTTGCTATGTGTTAACCAAGAAGGCCATAGTATTGTAACATTTTGGTATCTTCTGATGGAAAACCAAAAATTATCCTAGAAAGCTTAACATTATTAGGAAATGCCAAAAACTATCTTGGAAATTAAAGATTATCTGAAAAGTCTAAAATTATCTAGAATACTAAGATTATCTGGAAACTCTAAACTATTTGACTGGAAATTCCAAACCTATACCAGGAATATCCAAAAACAATCCCAAAGTCTAAGCTATTCAGAAAAGTCAATCTACTAATAAAGTATATCTGGAGCCAAATGCAAAAAAATATACTTTTAGGCCAAATATTATCGAATATATAATCGTCTACATAGATCTACTATATGCCACATATATTAATGGTTACCTTAATTGGTAAACCATTATTTCCAGTTTATCTATTGTAACACTAGCACTAGCAACTATATTTACAACTCAAATATCTAACAAAAGTATGATGTTTAATATGTATCTAGTAAGCAAAGACAATATATCAAATCATAATATATAACATATGCCTAATTAGCAAAACGAAAATAAAATTGTGCACCAGTGAATTTTAGGTCAGAACCAAAAAAAAATAAAAATAAAAATAGTCAACCAGATTATTACAATAGAAAACCCAGCTATATATATATCTATATATTTGCCTTGATACGTGACCTGACTAGCAAATCGAAAACTAATTTAGTATACTAGCAGACCTTGTAACTAGATAATACATAGTAAACCTAATGTGAGCTAACTATATTATTTTAAAATAGAACTATGTTAAAATATCATAGCACTGAACTTTAAATTAGCAGATCGAATTAAATCGGGACTTGATCCATAAGGTATAGCCCAAGCATTAAAGAAAAAATATTAATTAATCAGTGTAATAAATTATAGAAGCTGATATAAATAATCTATGCAAGTATATCAATACTGAATCCAAATCGCTGATTAAAATCAAAATTAGGATTGAACAAAAATTGTAGAATTTATTTAGCCTTAATATTTTATTGTTTATTCAACCCAAAGTTTTTAACCAAATACAAAAGCATCAAGTCTTTATTTATTTAGAAATCAAAACATTCTATTTGATATGTTAATAAATCATTCTGACAATCAACATATAGGCCAAAGCTCTTAACAAAGCAATCAGAGAGAAAACAAATAGTATAAAATTCTATTATCAATCACTTTAGTGAATTAGTTAGAAAATAAACTAAAGCCCAACGTGAAGAAAATCAGAGCTAGCCTTGAAATTGAGATTAAGCAAAAGAAGTACTTATTTAAAATAGAAGCTTTGTTAAAACTATAACACTGAAGTCTTGAAAGCATCCGTTCAATACCTAAGGTATGGAGGAATGCAAACTGATAAAAACGGTGCAAACCCACAATAAGACTTTCAAGGCCAGATAGAACTTCGATTATTTGAAAAGACCTGAAATGAAGAATCAAAATTAAACAAAACTTGAACATGAATGACGAAATAATCTAATCGAATTACTTATCTAGATATTTAAAAGACAATCAGAAATTGCCTTGATATATTAAACTATTAAGTTATTTTGAAATCATTTTTTAGGATTGGTAAGACCTACTAGTAAGCTGTATGCAAAAGAGGCATTAGGAAGGTGGCACTACCTGTTAGCCATCATGTAAAAAGACAAGTTGGTGAGCTTGCCGATAAGCTATATGCCAAAAAGGACTTTGTTATTGCAAAGGGTGAGCCTGCCTGTAAGATGCAATGTGAAAATGTGTTCTGGTGTGCAAATTTAAACAAAAAGAAATTATTAGTTAGGAGTTATAGTACTCTCTGGTGTTAATTAAAATAATTTAGAGTTATAATACTCCCTAGTATTAATTATATTGTTTGGAGTTATGGTACTCCCTGGTGTTACTAATAGAATTATTATTAGTATTATTATTATTATTATTTATATAGCTACTGGGTGCTAAATTCCAAATCAATTATTTTGTTATTATATTATTGAATTAAAATTTACACATATATCAAGGCTTGAAACTGGCAATTTCAAGAAAACAATTTTTTTGATTGAGGCTCTTCGATGATGGAAAATTAACACGATTGCTAAAAGAAAATCCATATATTCAACTATGATGAAGTATTCCTGCGATTACTAAATTACTAGATCTTGAAATAATCAAGTAAAAACTTGAATAGGTTGATCTTTAGTAGAGGTGGCCACTATAGAAATATTATAAAATTATTATATATAAATATAGTATTTGAACTAATTTAAGCAAATTTGAGATTAGTTAGAGTTAGTTAAGGGTTATAGTAAAGTTTATAGTTAGCTCTAGAGCTAGAATTAGAGTTTTTTTATATTATAATCTTATAATATTTCTATATTGGCCACCTATACTAAAGAAGATCCCTTGAATACTACATGAAAGATCTAATATCCACTTAATGAATCTGCTCTGGATCTGGACCTATAGAAAGAGATACTAAAAATTGAAACAAAAAGAACTTTGAAGACAAGGAATATACAAGACAAGAATGGAAAAATATACTTATCCAAAAACACTTATTATCAATATTGCCCTACTGAATTTTGACAAAGAATTATTATTGATACTGCTTATTGAGTATTGACAAAGAAGACTTCAAGAAACATGAAGTCTTCAAGAACCTAGTTAGACACCCTAAGATATATGTTTATAGCTCTTTTAAAAAAAAAAAAAGAAGAAGAAAGAACTAGGTTAATAACGTAGAAAGTTAAAGAATGAACAAAGAAATGCTCTTATCTTTGAAAATAACTAAAGATTGAAATAGATCTAAGTTTCATGTTTGAATTCTGGAACAAATTTTTTACTAAATTTAGCTTGAGACACTACTTGCCAAGCTACTAGTAACTATACAAAAAAAGTTACTATCTTGAAAAAGTAAAAATCTATGATGATACTAATGTGATGAAAAGCTAAGGTGATCAATGAAAAAGCTGAAGGAATCCGAGATCGACCTAATAACTAATAAAGACCAACTAGGAAGAAAATAAGAATGTTAGCAACCAAGACCAAGTGATCTAAGTTCTATATTAAATATTAGAACTAATCAAAAAGAAAAGTAGCTAAAGATCTGCAAGCTATCATGAAAGTTACCCTATTGTCTATGATTAACGACCAATATGATAATTAGAACCTGATCTTAACTTGAAAAGTAACTGAAAGAAGAAAGAGAGAATCCAAAATCGAAAGATAGAAAAAGAATGGAAGCTTGAAATCCACAGGCCAAGCTGATCACAGAAGGTTATTGTGTCAGAAATTACAACTGAAAGACACTGATATAATGAAGGATGACAAAATAATCAATGATTAAGACCTAATTTTAGCCATGGAAGGGAAGGGTACAAAAAGAAATAGATCATTAATAAATAATAGGAAGAAAAAATAAATTAAAAGAAAAATAAAGAGAAGTGAAGTAAAGAAAAATTAGATTTAAAAGTAAAGTTGGATCAAAAAGTAAAACCAGTGATCTTGAAATATATATAAGATCGAATCACATGAGTAATATCATGAGACTGACTAACAAAGAACTAAAGATCAAGACCTACCCAATGCCTTAATTAGAAAAGACCTTGTAGAGTAATAGCTAGGTAATACCCAGAAGACCTTAAAGAAGAAAAGATATATTAATATTAACTGGGAAATAAAACTTAACACTTGTAAATTGGAACATACCTGGAAGCCAAAACTTACTAACACTACAATATTAATATTATTATTTATTATTATTATCAATTATTATTTTTTATTATTATTCTTTTATTTTATTATATTATTACATATTTATTTTATTTTCTTATATTTATTCTTTTTTTTTTTTTTTTTTGGCAAAGGTAACTTTAATTGTTAGCAAGATTTTATTAAGCAAGTATTAGACACTATACATTATGATGAAAGTACATCAAGCCACATGTGCACCTTTTAAGTGCCTATTTAAGTAGTCTGCCCGAAGATTCTACACTATCTGCCGTACCTGCACCCCAACTAGAGGGATACTTATTTAAACCTTCTGATCTTAACATATTTGGCCTAACCGGGTGTAACTCACTAAACAGATTAGATTTTGCAACACCACTACATTTACTAGCCAATTTAGAACATTTAACTATCCTCAAGAGTAAACCCAACAGAGCGGTACATATCTCACACATGTATTCACCTGCATATTTGGCAACTTCTTCCTAACTAGTATCTGTTGTACTGCCGACACCAGTCTGTATCTCAAGCTACCTTTTAGGGTACTGCTGTAACCCGATTCGTATCTCAAGCTATAACCTTTCTAATTAGTCTTCTATTACATACTCATTCCCCTTAATTGGTTCACAACAACCTCAGTACCTACATTTGAAACCATCTCCTTACCCAGATTCTCTATCGGTCCCTCTTTTACTTCCAGCCGGCAACCTGGAAGGGTTGGTCTGCCCAGGCTTTAGGTGCCTGAAGGATGCTCTTCCCTTGATTCATACTTTCGGAGCATATACTCTTTTTCTCCGGTGCGACAACCCGGTGGTTTAGCTAGTGTGTTCTCCGCTATAAGACCTAGTCACTTGGTTCTCTGATCTCGGGCCCCAGTTCGAATTCAGCCCTCCTATGATACCGTTGAAAATCACCGTTACATCCAAATTCGGGACTTCTTAAATGAGTTTTCGGTTATGCCGGTTCCTCGGATTTATTGTGCCAAAGCTCCTATTTTAAGATGGTGTGACCGAAGTTACAGATTTAGAATCCAACTAATAAGCATAGCTGTCAACCGAACACAGGCCAATTTTTCAAATATCGTTACTAGTGGGATTTGAACTCTAGACCTGCCACTTGGAGAGGGTAACAACTAGACCACTACACTAAGTCACCACACCTCTTCTTATATTTATTCTTATAACTTATTACATATTTATTATATTATTATATTTGTTTCTTATTTTTCTTCTTATAACTACTATATATTATTATTTACTAGTATTTGACCCATAGCATTGCTATAGAAGTTTATAAGCAAACAAAAAATATATACCAGATTGAGCAATTTTGATTGGCTAGAAGTGATGATCAAAAAATTAGGCAGGAATTAATTCTAATTTTACTAATAAAATCATAGACGTCTACTAAGTAAAAATTGTTTCTGGGTCAAATACAGGCTTATTTTTTAAAAATTTCTATTTTTGTAATGAAAAAATTAAAAAGTTAATTTTGGCCAGAAAGTAGTAAACAATTATGTAATGCAGGCCAAAATTTTAAAGATCCTTGGGTATTAGCCAATCAAAATCAAGAATATGCCACACATTTTTTGTATGCATCTAGAGTTAATTGTTGGTATGCTACATGTGTCACATATGCTATAGTAGCAAAAATATATACAATAAT